TCAAATTTTATAACTACCCTCTCAATTTTCAATTTTTAGTCTTGTATGTATGTTTGTGATGAAATGTAGAAAGATGGTGTTTGTTCCATGTGAGATCACGTACACATCATGCACTACAACGTTTTTAATTTAGGAGATCATGCATTACAACTTGAACCCCACATTTGTTATGTGTGTAAATATATTATAACCAAAAAAAAAAAAAAAAAGTTACAAAATTAAACGGGTTAAAATTGAGGTTAAAATAAATAGTAAGAATCATTTATTTATTTATTTTCTAAAATCTCAAGTGAGTGTCACGTGATTTTTCATTTTTTTTTTAGCTCCAAATTCTAACGATAAGTTATGAAGAGATAATAATATTACAATAAAATTCAAAATATAAGATTTAGTTTATTCAAATTAAAATTACAATAAACAAAATTTTACTTAAACAAGTTAAGGGGCCAACAGTCTAATTTATTCTAATTTTCATGTACGGACAAAAGTGACAATTTAATTTTAAAATTGATATTATCATCAAGAATTCAATCAACAGAATAAAACTAAACTTCAATCTTTAAAGAAAATTATCACAAACTAGTAAAATAAGCTATATACTTTTTTCTGATTGTCAGGCAGAAAGTTCATTGTATTTTATTTCAAAAATAAAAAAATAAATTATAATAAGGGTAAGTTACAAATACAACTCTTGATGTTTGCTTAAATTACAAATTGCTTCATGTAATTTAGAAAATTGTAAATACTCCCTTGTCAAAAAAATTTATTTAACAAAATTAACTAGCAGATGAAATTCATAGTTATTCTTCTCTATAACAATAAAATTATAGAAATTATTAATTGTAATATATTTCTAACATTATTAAAAGTCGTTAATTAATTTTATAATTTATTAATAAAAAGAATAATTTGTTATGAAATTAAAATTTTTAAAAACTAAAATATAATTTTTTAAATTATAAAAAATAATTTATATATCAAAAATATATTTGTAATTTACCATAATAATAATAATAATAATAATAATAATAAGGAATTGTGGGGGCAAGGCAAGGCAACTACCACGAGCCAAGGTTCTTTCCTGGCAGTCTCGTACTTATGCTCGTCTTTATAGGTTTTAGGGTCTATTTTTAGGCCCAATTTTAATAATTCGAACCGTTCATATTTTATGATTTATTCAGTGTATCATACCTGTAAAAAATCAAGTTGATCGGATATCAGAAAGTATGTGTTCGGAAAGCTGTTTATTAAATTCTTTAAAAAATAATTTTTAGTTCAATTTTTCAAACACATACTTTCTGATATCGATCAACTTGATTTTTTACAGGTATGATATACTGAATAAATCATAAAATATGAACGGTTCAAATTATCAAAATTGAGCCTAAAAATAGACCCGAAGACCTATAAGGACGGGCACAAATACAAAAAGGGCAAAGAGAGGATCCTCATTCAACTACCACCACCACCATAACGGTCCAATCAAAATGAGTTTTTTTTCTCAGCCTGCTATTGGTCCATTGGGAGGCGCGCCTATAATAACATCCTCGTTTTGTTGTATTGTGTGTGTTTTTATTGGAGGGGACCACCCAAACCGAATCCATCATAATGGTGTGTTTTTCTCTCTTTGACAGAAAATGTAATGAGTTTTAAATAATTTATTAAATTTTTTATAAAGGTGTGAAATTTACACAAATTGTATGTGTGGGTTTTATATTTTTATAAAAGGTTTAATAAAAAATTTGATAAATTATTTGAAATCCTTAACATAGTTTCTATTCCTAATAAAATCCTCACACTTTCATTTAGAATATAAGAAAAAAGGATTTTCTCTGTCTGGATAGAAGCATATTGTTTAGGTTTATAAAGCTTAATATGGATCTATTTTAATAATTTGAATAATTTATTTTATTTAATATTTTATTTATATAAAAATATTATATCGATTCAATAATTATAACATGTTTTATTTAGAAAAATTTAGTTCAACATCTCTCTCCAATTTTTAGTAATGGGTCTCTCAGTCATATCCTCTCTTTCTCTCTCTCTCATTCTCTCTCCTTCACTAGAAAAGACGCAATCGATAGTTTCAATAAGTGGGTCTCAATCGATAGTTTCAGTAAGTGGCTCTCTCTATCTCTCTATCTCTCCTCACTTTCTTTGTATTTTTGCAACCCATCCATCGATTCGTTTGTTTGAGTTCAGAAAATTTGGAAAAACTATTGATTCTAAGGCATTAAATTTTGTAACTTTCGTTTGTTTCGAATTTGGTTAGTGCTACATTGTTACTATTTTGTAGAACTGAATGTTGAGTCATATATGTGCTAGGGACAATATGGTTTTCATGTCTCTTCATGTTTATAGTATAGTTTCAGTTTCGGGAGGAATGTTTCTTTGATTGGTTGTGCTTTAGATGACCAATTTGTTCGTTTTTTACAATCATTGGAAGCATTGGAGGGAAATTGTGCTACAAGAATATAAACTTGCTTGTTTTAGCAAGAAAAAATTAGAAAAAAAACTTAATTAGAACTCGATTCATAAAATAAAAAAAAAAAATTGAAATTTTCACACCCAGTTGGTTTTGTAATGAAGAAACAATAGCAAACTATTTGAGTTTTCAGTTAAAAACAAAAAAAAACAAATTGGTGATTAAGCAACCCAAAGTTGAAATTGCATAATGGGTGATCATGAACAACAATAAATTCACGGATGTAGCAGAATTTGGACGAGGGGATTGTGATGTGTGAGCAAATCAAGTTGAAAGTTGTGTGAGCAAATCAGATTGAATTTTCTTTAGACTGTGTGAATTTTCTTTAGTTGTGACCATTGTTTGTAATTTTGTGAATTTTCTCTAACTGTGTGAATTTTCTCTAACTGTATGAATTTTCTCTGCTGTGATTATTGTGTAAATTTTCTTTGGTTGTGGTCACTGTTTGTAATTTTGTGAATTTACTCTAGCTGTGGTTACTGTATGAATTTTCTCTGACTATGGTCACTATGTAAATTTTCTCTAACACTGTGGGATTGTGATGTGTTTAGATAAATTTTAGTGAAAATGCCCAAAGAAATTCTAAACATAAATACACAAACACACTCAGAAAAATTCTAAGAGAATTCCAGAGAAATTCCAAACATAAACACACTTAGCAAAAATTTTCTAGTTTCGAAATTTCTCTGGATCAAAATTTTTCTGGAAAAATGTTGAGGGACCTCAACTGCTATGAAAATATTGCATATCTTTTATCCTATAAAATTTTAATACCATGGACCTTAAAAAAAATTCTCTTTTTTTTTATTGCGTTTATTACCTAAGAAAATAAATAAAAATTTTATTTTAAAAAATAAATTATTTATTTTTTAGTAACAAATACAATAAAATAAATAAGTTATGAGTAATCAAATTTACCTAATTTTTTTGGTAAATAAAATGCACAAAGTGCCCAATAACGAAATCGACCTGTAATGACCCAAACTGGAGCGAATTTGCCTCAATTGTTTAAAAAATTTATTATTAGCATGTGCTTTCAGGATATAAGAAACTTACAAATAGTATAGAATATATATTTAGGAAATTATAAATAATAAAAAAAAACTCAGGTTTAACCCTTGTAATAAAATAAAATTTTAATTTTATTAATTTAAATTTTAAACTATTGATTTTTTTTTCCTTCGATCTAAATTATTTGTCTATTTTCATTAATTAAAACTAACAGGAAAAAAAAAATATGTACACCTACATTAAGTTTTTAATAACTACAAATACAATTTTTTCGACAATTTTACTTAATGAAAATAAGATGATGGTTTAACTTAAAAACAAAGTAAAAGATTAAGATTTAAATTGACAAAATTAAAAATAGGCTCAAACTCTCTTCTTCTTTTTTTTTTTGTAATTTTCCTTAATTATTTTTAAAAGGTTTATTAATGAATCTCTTAAGATTATGAATTTAAGTAAGAATTTAGAAAATGAAATGAAATGAAAATATTGTAGAAAATGTGAATGAAAAATAAGTTAAAATTTTCTTCTATGTCATTTTCTTTTACAAATTCATGATCTAAACATAATGTAAGAATATTTATTGACAAAACTTAAAATAATCGTACATTCTTGAATTAATTATATTTGTAATCCACAAAATATAAATAATTTTAAAAATTGTATCAATTTAATTCCCAAAATGATTGCAATTTGATTCTTTAATCTAACTTCGTCAATAGATGTTAAAATCATGAATAAATCTATAGTTTTGAAAACTAAAATAACACACCACATATTTTAAGGACTAAAATCATAATCTTTTAAAGTGTGCTTTTACGTTAATAGCACAAAAAACATATTTTAGATACTAAAAAGTTTAATTTTTAAATTTCTCACATTTATCAGCGATTTTAACATTGCCGACTGACAAAATTAAATTGGGAGACCAAATTAAAACAATTTTCATATATTAATGACTATACTAACACAAAATAAAAATTAAAAATCAAAATGATACAAAACTTATACTTTAGGACTAAAAATATATAGATCCTAACAAAGTCGCAAGGCAAACCCATATCAACTTCCAATAATGGGTCAATATATGGATATATCATATATTAGCACAATATTTATTAACAAAACTTTAAATAATCGTACATTCTTGAATTAATTATATTTGTAATTCACAAAATATAAATAATTTTAAAAACTGTATCAATTTAATTCCCAATATATAAAATGATTGCAATTTGATTCTTTAATCTAACTTCATCAATAGATGTTAAAATCATGAATAAATCTATAGTTTTGAAAACTAAAATAACACATACATATTTCAAGGACTAAAATTATAATTTTTTAAAGTGTGCTTTTACATTAATAGCACAAATAACATATTTCAGAGACTAAAAAGTTTAATTTTTAAATTTCTCACATTATCAGCGATTTTAACATTGTCAACTGACAAAATTAGATTGGGAGACCAAATTAAAACAATTTTCATAAATTAATCACTATATTAACACAAAATAAAAATTAGAAATCAAAATGATACAAAACTTACACTTTAGGACTACAAATATATATATATATATATATATCCTAACAAAGTCGTAAGGTAAACCCCATATCAACTTCCAATAATGGGCCAGTATATGGATATATCATATATTAGCACAAGACACAAAATATGATTTCTGGGCACTTACAAAAACAAATTACCAATTCATGCAACCCTTGAAAAGTTGTACAAAAACCACATTCCATTATCATCTTCATCATCACTCACATTTAGCTTTTCACTGCACTGCACTGCACTCCACTCCACATACACTCTCACAAGCACGTCCTTGTCCCAAAACGAAGCAATATTCTAAAAAATTGTTTGCAGCCCTGGTGGTTCTCGGTTAAAAATTTGCTATAAATTCTGGAGGAAAGGTTCCTGCACTTGACCTTGGACTGGAACATCTAATGGTGCGTTCAAATCCATAGCTGCAAGTTCTTCCAACTCTTGCAATGCCCCAAATGCAGCTTCACTGTTCACGTAGGGTTTCACCATATTGACCGTGTGTTTGATTCTAGATTGCTGCAAATAATGCAAATACAAATAAAGCATGGTTTGTGAATGCTATAGTCATTTGCAAAGTATGCTAAAACTAAACATATGCTAGTGACATTATAGTATTTAACTCACAAAATGTTCAACTTTGTTCTTGAGATCTTCATATGGCACTGACTGTTGAGTTGCAGCTGCTTGAATCCCGGTAATTGATGAATTCTAATATCCCAAAATGAGGCCACTCAATAAGAACATCAACCCACAAAAACAAAAGGCAACAAGTACCATTTTCTCCTAAACTAAAATCACTTTGACAACTTGTCATCCAACTCACAAATTTATTGCAAATTACAACATCAAATCATTGCAATTTCTCAATAAGGTCATGGTATAGCTAAAGATTTTACTTAAATTGCAGTTCATGCTATAAATTAGTGAAATTAAAATTATTAACAAAAAAAAAAAAAGCAGTAAAGAGAAGTCAAAACTAGTAACCAAAATTCTATAATCCATCAAAAGGGGTGCATAATATGCAACCACTTTTATGGCCGGCCGACATTCTACAATGTCAAAAGTTGGGTTGCAATTTGGCACGGTTAGTTAGACCCAATGTCACCACAAATGGTCTTAAGGCCATATAACGACCTGCCAATGGGCCCGTTTGGTGCAAATTTTTCTAAATTAAAAGTTGATAATTAAAAGATAAAAGCCAAAAGTATCCCTTTTCGAGCTTCCATATAATTAGTTCATTTAAGCTATTATTGCCTAACAATTCCAATGACATACTTGAAGTTGGTTAACACCCAACAAACATTACAACAATGTAGCCTTTGTTCTCACTTATGACTCAAGATGACCTACTATTAGGCTAATTAGCCACCTACCAAAAACATGTCAAAAAAATTCTTATTGCCGACTACCCCAACTTTTCAAAACCCATTAAGATAAGATCTCGTTTTCATATGTAGGCTCCGTTTGGAAAGGTAGATAGGTTGTGAAGATAGGTTGTGGGTTTTTTTAACTATTTTAGTTATAAAAGACAAAATAAGTTATTTTAACCACAACAAACAAACATCGCATCCAATCCATAATCATTACACTCTTCTTTCACAAAAAAAAAGTCAAAAAAATCAAAAAGCCAAAAAATTCTTCCCAAACTAAACTTTTTAACGCAGGCTAAAATAGCCACAAAAAAAAATAAAAAATAAAAAAAATAAAGCCAAAACACCAACCGACTTCCCAAACAAACCCTTAATTTAAGATTTAAAAAAACAAAACAAAACAAAACAAAATAAAATAAAATTTTAAGCTGCTGCTAGATTGCGAAGTGTACCATAAGTTTGTCCATAAGTTTCATTAGTTAGTCAATTAAATTAATTAGCAATATCATATGCCAAGATAAATTTTAAAAAAATAAAACAATAATTTATGTTTACCTTCCTGGGCCGGCCCAAAGGTTTTCCGGTTAGTTGTCTAGGCATCTTAACCCCATCAGCTATGGGTCGCCGGCCCCGCCGCTTCCCGGGCAACACTCCAACATTAACTTTTCTCAGCCCATCAGCTCTAGGCCGCCGCCCCCGCTGCTCCCCCGGCACCACTCCACCACCAACAGCCACCACATCACCACCACCAACAGCCGCGGCGGCGCTGACATTCTTCGGCGGGCGGCCGCGTGGCCTGCCCAGCCCAATGGGCCCAGTTTTGGGTGGGCGCCCAGGCCTCCTCTTGAGCCCACCCTGACCCATCAAAAGGGACAAGGACTTGGGCCTGGGAGGCCTCCCACGGGCCCTATTACCCAATTCGGTCTTCGCAGACTTAGGTGGTCTACCCGGGCCTCTCCTAGCCATCGGTGTAGACCCATCAACAAGGCCCAAAGAAACCAACATCCGGCCCACACCAGAATTACTGGGCTGGGCCAGTATCTTGGGCTTGGGTGGACGACCGGGCCCTCTCTTGGGCCCAGAAGACAAAGCATTTTCATTTACATTACCAGTATCATCATCGGCAGGAGGAGGAGGAGGAGGAGGAGAGAGAAGAGGATGAGGAACAGATCTGGGAAGCATGTAAGAGTGCTTGACCATGACGAGTTGACCCGTGTTCTTCAATCGCTTGAGTTGGTGAGTCAACAAGGTCGAGTGGGTCGCTGGTAGGTTCGAGTAGGCCTTCTCTATGTACTTTGCTATGGCTTGCCTACTCGATCCATCCTTCTCTTTCAACGCTGTTATCGCCTCTGTTATCATCTGTTACAATACCCACAAACCAAAATCAAAATCAAAACTCTTTTTTTTCTAGAGAGAGAAAATATATCTATATATATATATATAGAGAGAGAGAGAGAGAGAGAGAAACAAGGGGGTTTTGAATTTTGGTACCTCGGCGTAAGGGGGATGGTTGATGGGAGCGTGGAGGGGAGTGGGGTTGGCAGCGGGAGCTATGTAGGCTGGTGGTTCTGCCGCCGCGGCCGGCGGTGGATAAGATGTTGGGTCCATGGAGAGAGAAAGAGAGAGAGAGTGGAGAACTTTAGTGAGAGAAAAAAAAATAATGGTTGAGAATTTGAGAAGAGAGAGAAGGGCAAAAGGTTTTGGTGGTCTTTACGCTTTGTTGTACTGAAAACGAGATTAGGATGAGTTAAATAAAAATAAAAAAAAGGAAAACAAAAACTTTAAAAAAAAAAATGAATATAAGGATAAAAGGCAAGAGGGGAGTGTGGCCGAAAAATGCTAACAGGAGCATCCGTATCAAACTGGTTAAAATTGTTTTTTAGCTAAATTAAGTTATTTTGAGTGTTTTAAATAAGCGTATTTTTTATTTTTTTAAATTAAAAAATTGAGGAAGAAAATATAGATATTTGGATTAATTTTTTAATTTTTTATAAAAAAAAATGTGTAATAAAAAATTATAAAAATTGATTTGTAGGAGAAAATTAAGATTGAGAGTTGTGCAGTCGTAATTGTTAACTTTTGGTGAATAATGTTAATTTTTTTACTTTTTAAGTAATTTTTTGACTTTTTAACTTTTCCTAGGCATGTCAAACTTGGCCAAGTTTCGTCGGGGAAGTTGATTTGTAGATTTTTTTGGTTAAAATAGTCACAAAAAATAAAATAAGTTTTTTAACCTAATAAAATAAAATATCATATCTAACCCATAATTATTACATTTTTTCTCTCACAAAAAAATTTAAAAAGTCAAAAAAGCCAAAATAGTAAAAAAAAGTCAAAAAGTCAAAAAGCCAATCTGCTTCCCAAACAGAGCTTTAGTGATACAGTTTATCAAAAATGGACTGCATCAATCTCGTTACTGTTCATCATTAATATATGAGTGATATAGTACCTCGCTACAATAAGCGAGGTACTGTTCATTGCTAGTTATGTGTTATCGGATGTCCGCCCAGAAGTTCGATCGGTTAATCGGTCAATGGGAAAAAAAAAATTTAATTTTTTAAATTTTTTTTTATTCATTTCCTCCAATTTTACCTTTTGTAAAACATAAGAATTGTTTGGTTCATAATTCATCAATTTAATTATAAAAAAAAAATAACAAAATATTTTAATAGGATTGAGTTAAAATAGAGAATTTGATGCAGTAGGGTGACTAGCTAAAATAGAAAAATGGCTTTTTAAGTTGTAATTTGACTAAAATTTTGGAGAGCCTGATACTGATGTTCTAAATCTTAGAAATTTTACTAAGGGTTTGTTTGGGGAAGTGGGTTGGCTTTTTAATTTTTTTACCTTTTTGGCTAATTTAATCTGAGGTTAAAAAATCTCGTTTGGAAAAAGTTTTTGGCTATTTTAGCTTTTTTTTAGAGGAATAATGTAATGATTATAGATTAGATGTGATGTTTTGCCTTATTGAGCTAAAAAACCTATTTTGGAGGTGTTTGGGAAGTTTGGTTTTTGTTTTTTTTAACTAAAAGACAAATTGGTTACAAAACCAAAAAAAATCAATCCAAACAAAATATCACATCAAATCTCATAATCATTTCATTTTTTATCTCACAAATATCACATCCAACCACAAAAAAACCCAACTATCTTCCCAAATACAAAAAAAAAATTTCTCCAATAATATCCTACAACTAAAAAAACTATAAAAAAACACTTCCTAAACATCCACTTTGTTTTTTGTGACTAAAATAGCCAAAAAAGCCACTTGGCTTCCTAAACGAAGGCTAAGGTTGCGTTTGGTTTAGTTTTAGAATTGTGATTTGAGTTTTGACAATAGAAAATTTGTTTGATTTTTTTTTGAACCAAGAAAATTTGTTTGATTATGAGTTTTGAAAAGTGTTTTGAACAGGGTTTTTGAATTTTAAATTTTGAAAAGAGCGGATTGGGTCTACAAGACGTCCGACTGGTTGATCAAAACAGTACTCTTTTTTTTTTTTTTTTTGCAACTGCAACATGTTATTTGAATATATGTGCCATTTTGGGAACATGGTAAATGTCCAAAAACGTGGCTGCCAAAAACGCCAAAAAAACCATTTGGCAAGTGCTAAAAACGCAGTCCTGAAATTACAAATTAGGGCCTATTAAAAATAAATAAAAAAATAACTCTCTTATGTTAGGTAAGGGTATTTTGGTCATTTTAATTTGATTTGACACCATAAATAAATATTAAACCAAAAAGCAAAAAGCCAGCTTTTTACCAACTTCCCAAATCACTTCCAAAAAAGCCAAAAAACTTGGTAAAAAGCCAAAAGCCAGCTTTTTACCAACTTCCCAAAACAACCCTATATATATATATATTTATTTGTTTTAGATATTTTTTTATTATAGAAATTTTTTTATAGATCTTTTATAAAAGTAATTTAACAATCCCATCACTAACCATTTTCAACATTATATCATCAAAACAAATATACTTTCACTTAAGCTCCGTTTGGGGAGTAGGTTGACTTTTTGGCTATTTTAGCCTAGGGCTAAAAAGCCTAATTTCAAGGGTTATTTTGGGAAGATGGTTATAATCAGCTTTTTGGTGAAAAGCTGCTCAGTTTTTTTGTGAGAGAGGAAGTGGGTTATAATCTAGGAAGTGGATTAAAACCCACTTCCCAAAATAGGGGAAGGACTTTTGACTTTTTTAACTTTTTTGTGAGAGAAAGAATGAAATGATTATGGGTTGGATGTGATGTTTTGTCTTATTGGACTAAGAAGCCTATTTTGTTTTTTGTGGCTATTTTAGCCAAAAAGCCTCTAAACCAACTTCCCAAACGGAGCTTTAGGCCCCGTTTGGGAACAGGCTAATTTAGTAACTTTTTGGTTATTTAGCTAAAATATGAGCTAAAAAAAAACTAGTATGTTTGGGATGACTTTTTGACTTTTTACGAAAAGATGTACAAAACGTAGAGAGAAAAGAGAATCTTTAACTTTTTGGTATGAATTGTTGGCTTTTTGGCTAATTTAGGTCAAGTTTGGCATATTGTAAAAAAGTCAAAAAGTCAAAAAGTTAAAAAGTTAACACTATTCACCAAAAGTTAACAATTACGGCTACACAACTCTCAATCCTAATTTTTCCTTACAAATCAATTTTTACAATTTTTTATTACGCATTTTTCCATAAAAAGTCAAAAAGTTAACCCAAACATCCATATTTTCTTCCTCAATTTTTTAGTCCAAAAAGTGCACTTATTTAGGACACCCCAAACAATCCCTAGTAACTTTTTGACTTTTTGACTAAAATAAAAGGTTCCCAAACGAGGCCTTAATCTCTTCACTAACAATTCACACATAATCTATTCACTAACCATCCCATCATTAATAATCTTATCCAACCTAATCCGTCAAACGAACATGGCCATAACTCAAAACTCAATTTAAAATTATTTTTAAAACTCAGAACCAAACACATAATTCGAAACTCCACAGCACTTTCGAAACTTTACATTCAAATTATAACTGAACACATTACAAAAAAAACTAAAATATTTAAAAATATTTTTATAAAATAAAATAAAATATTTAAAATAAAAAATATATATATAATATTATAAAATAAAAAGATAATTCTTTAATATTTAAAAAAAATACAGCACAAAAATGTATGAAATATAGTGCACACTAAAATAAATAAATAAATATCCTAAAAAAATAAAAGTAAGAAAAATTTTAAATATTTATAAAAAATAAATCCAAAAAATTTTAAAAGGCAACACTCAAAACATGATTCTAAAAATAATTTTAAAAAACAAAATAATATTTTTTTTAAATATTTTTTTTAAATAGGGTTTTGAAAAGAGTTTTGATTTTGAGTTTTAAAAATAATTTTGAATTGAATTTTGATTTATGTGTTTGGTTATGAGTTTTAAAATTAATTTTTGAATTGAGTTTTAAGTAATTTTGAGTTGCGTGTTTAGTTATGAATTTGAAAAGGTGTTTTAAAAATTTTGAGTATAGAATTATGATTCCACACTCAAACTAAACGCAACCTAAAAATTTTACCAAATATCTTATATATATAGATATGAGATTTATACTATATGAATCTCACACATCTGATAAAACTTTTAAAGTTTCTAATATCACTCGAGTGTGGGCTCCTCGCCTGATCACTCATAAAAATTGATATCTATAAGGATTTACAATTGACATTTAAATTTGTAAGATGGATCGAAATGATATTTAAATATAAGAAATGATTTCTTTGAATATAAAAAATAAAAATAAAAATTGTAGAACAGGAAATGCTTTTTACTTGTTTCAAAATATCTTTTATTAATTTCAAAACTATTTAAAGTTTTTTTTATATATGGAAAAATGCATAGAAATTATGGTATCAAATAAATATTTCAAGATAGTGGGATATTCTCCAAAATAATAATAATAATAATAATAATAATAATTGCAAAATCATGGAATCATGAGTTAAGAAGACCCAATTATCTTTGCTAATTTAAAGAGTAAGTATTACTATAGCCAAGAACATTCTAGAGGCGATTTCCGGTGACTCAAGAGAGGAACTTCTGGAGTTATTAAGGTTTCTCACAGAGGCGGTTTGCGGCGCTCTGTTACAGGGCCTCCGTCTCCTTCTTGATCACCTCTTTCTTTGGATATCCACCCTGTGGGGAGAGGGCTTTGCTAAGGTATGTTCTGACACCGATTATGCTTTAAGCCATCTTTGGCTTCATTTCTTCTGGTGTTAACCTGAGATCCCCCTCTCCTTAGTTCAGATCTTTACTTACTTCACAGCTCTACTTTATTAGTGCTGATTTAGTCGCTCGCTGTCACGACCCAGACCCGCCCCTATAGGTTTAGCGTCGTAACCGGCCAGTAATTCGAGATTACCAAAGGCCTTCCTGTATAAACAAAATAATTGGGGCTTGCGGAAGCAATGAACAAAACACTAATAGTCCAACGAGCTGTGCATCTATATGAACAAATAATCACATGCAAAAGGGTTAATTTACCCACTTACATTACATAACATATAACACAATATCTTATACAAAAAAAAAAAGATGTACGGGTCAAAAATGTATAACATAACCGAAAGCTTGCTAACGGCCTTCCAGGCCTAGCCCCAACTCGAAGGCACCCAAAACACTTGGTAGCTTCAAAACAGTGGTTCGGTAAAAACCCTCCTACACCTGCCCTCCAGAACCCTCACCTATAA